CACGTGGTCTGGCCTCGCCTGCAGGAGCGAGCTGCACGAGGCCTCGGGAGCGCGCGCTGGAGGGGAGGAGACCGGCCGGTGTCTTCACAGCCTTCCTCCACTTCCTCAGCTCGGCATTCCCACGTCTAGGGGTGGGGGCAGGGATTGGACAAGATCAGGGCCCTGTAGGGTCTTTCCCCTGCTCCCTGATGGTTTAGACACCCTGGTTAACGCCTCCAAATTGCCCCGCGGGGTGGGGGTAGAGGTTTGCTTCTTCCCGCTCTCCCGCCGCCCACCCGGCAGGTTCCAGCAGACAGAACGCTGAGAGTAGGGCGCACCGGAGGCGGTGAGGGCCAGGAGAGACGAAATAACGGGTGAGGCGCCGCCCCCTCCAGGTGGGGTGAGTGGACACTCGCCTTTATTTGAGAGACGTGGGAGGCTAGTGGGGGATGATGGAAGAAAGAATAGAGAACTGTTTGAAGGGGCAGGTACCACCCAGTCCCCAGATCCCAGCTCGCCCCACCCCCTACCGGGGGCGGGGCTCTGAGCTGGGGAGGTACAGCCCTGGAGGAGGGGTTAGCAGCGAGCTTCTGGGGCCTAGTGTCACCTTCTTCACTCTCAAGACGGAGGGTGACAGGGTTAAAGAAAGCGCCCAGGCCAAGCAGGCCCCCGGGCCTTCTAGCAGTGTGGCTGGGATTGCTGGCACCGGCCCTTCTGCCCCCAGCCGGACAGATTCCAGCTGGGCACAGCCATTCCACAAGTAGGTCTTTTCCTCCCACGTGCCCAGCTTTGGGGGCATTTCAGCCCAACCCTGGGATAGGTAAGAGATGGTTTCTCTTCGTTTGTGGTCACCCAGCAACCCCACTTGGGAAATGGAGGTACCAACAGGAATAGCTCTGGCTTCGGCTTACTCCCTGCTGGGAAGGGGAACCGAGAAGGCCCCCCAGGGAGCGGCTGCTTCAGAGCAGGGCTGGGAACCCGGGTGAGGCTCAAGGACAGAGGCCCCAGTGTGGCCATGCAGCTCTTCAAGATGTGGCCCCCTACTACGGGCGGCCTCCTCCTCGAAGCCTTTGGGGCTGGAGATAGAGGCAAACCTAGGGTGGCAGCTGGGAGCCAGGCCTGGTCTAACCCGTTTTCCTGCTCCCAGTGCCCCAGGCCAGTACTCCTGCCCACCTGAGTGCCAGGGAGTGGCCTGAGTGACCCATCACTCCGTGGGAACTGAGTGGGGCTGGTAGCATTCCTGATGACTCAGGGAAGCTGTGCCCATTCTTACTGGGTGCCCGCACACCAGTGCCCACCTGTCTGCCTTACTGCCAGGCCTGGAAGGGGATGTGTAGGGAAAGGGTGGCACAGGCAAGGCCGAGGACGTCGGGTAAGGTGGGCAGGGATCCTCCAGGCCCTTCCCCATGCAGAGCCTCCGAACACCTTTCCCTACGAGATCTAATTACTGTTGGTGGAACTGGGAGGTGCCTGGCGACATGGGGAGCCAGTCCCTCCCCTCAGGGAGTTCTCAGGGACTCCGGTGGTTTGACATTTTGCCAAGGATCTGTGCCTTCTCGTGTCCACCACTCTCCCTCTCACCACCGAGATGCGTGATTCCTACCCTAAGGAAACGAGGGGGATTCCTGCCTCGTTCTCTGAGTTTTTCTCTCCACTCATGTTTCTCCCATCTCCACATGGACAGTGTTGAGACCAGTGCTTTGATGATGACTGATAAGGCAGGTGGGGATTACAAGGGACCCAGCAGCTGCTTCTCTGCCCCATAGGAGGCTCAGGGAAGTATGAGGAACAGCCATCTTGTCCAGGCGCTAGGCCCACGGCTCTGCCCAGCATCTGTAAGGGACAGTGGTGCCCGGGTTGAGGACGGAGGGAGACGTATAGATATGAAAGTTTGGGCTGGTTGGTAGGATATCATGTGGGGCCTTGATACTGAGCTCCTTAACTCCCTGATGTGTTGTCACATGGGGGACCTAATGCCCATGGCCATGGCCTCAGGGTGGAGGTCAGTGGGACTGTAGGTAGAGAGACCAGTGTTACTGTAGAGAAAGCATGTGCCAGTGTGTGTGTGTGTGTGTGTGTGAGAGAGAGAGAGAGAGAGAGAGAGAGAGGGGAAAGGAGAGAGTTTGAGGTTGCGGAGGTCAACCAATACTGGTGTGCAAGTTCACACATACAACCGAGCCTTTCCATGTGTCTGCCGCCGGCGCGTGGGTGGTAGACGTGTGTGTGTGTGCGCCCTAGAACTCTGCATGTACATGCATGAAGCCTACATACATGCTTGTGTGAGGGCAGGTCCTATGGGACTGGCAGCCGCGGGAAAGCATGTGGGGAGATGGGATGGAGGGCGCTGATCTATCCGAAGGGATTCCTCCCACTGTCACTATCCTCCCTGCCTCCATCCCCCCGCCCCGCTGGTGAATTATGGGGAGTGGAAGGAGGAAATCCGGGTCTGGGTCTGAGAATCTGAATCGCAGGGGCCTGCGCCGTTTCTGTGGTAACCAAGCCGGCGTTCCCTACTTCCCTCCACCTTTCTCTCCGCCTCCTTTCCTCGGAGGCCGGCGGGGCTTCCCTGCGCCTTTTCTGCCCTCTGGTGGCCACAGGAGGACAGAACCAGAAACGGGCCGGAAGTCTAGCGCGGGCCCTGGCGGCACCGGGTCCTGGGGAAGGCAGGGACCGGGGGAGGGGGCTCCGAGGAGCCGGGGAGCTCGAGGACCCTGGGGAAGGGTGCGGTAGAGAGCGGGTGGCCTGGCGCTGCTTCTCTCTGACCCGCTGCCGGTCCCCCGGTCCCCGCAGCCTGCGGCGAGAGGGCTACACGGTGCAGGTCAACGTGAACGACTACCTGGACATCTACTGCCCGCACTACAACAGCTCGGGGCCGGGCGGCGGGGCGGAGCAGTACGTGCTGTACATGGTGAGCCGCGCCGGCTACCGCTCCTGCAACGCCAGCCAGGGCTTCAAGCGCTGGGAGTGCAACCGGCCGCACGCGTCCCACAGCCCCATCAAGTTCTCGGAGAAGTTCCAGCGCTACAGCGCCTTCTCTCTGGGCTACGAGTTCCACGCCGGCCAC